TTGGACCAGTACCTGGATTATTTTTTCTGATATCCTTTGTTGTTTCTTTTTCCCAGATGACCTCCCCCTTGATAATCTATTTTCAACAATCTGATATATTAAACTTTCCACAAACATCCCCTTCTTTAGCCAATAAATATTCTAAAGCCAACCTATTCTGATACACTACAGTTTTTGTTTGGCTTTCGTGACTTGATATTAATTCCAATGCCCGAGAAGCTTTGTTTCTTATCATCTCTATAACTGCTTGGAGTCTTATAATGCAATTCAGCATATAAATTGAGGCCAATGCAGAGTTAGATTGCTGTGCTGGTTTTACCTTTTTGTTCTTGTAATCCAATATTTTTCCCCTTTTTGCCTGCAGGTACTTAATTTGGATGGGTTATAACAGTGACTGTTGGCATGGGTATGTGTAACATAAAAGGACCTTTGGTTTCTTTCAGTAGCATTTGTGACATGATCTTGCCAGTATCCTTTGAAAAACACATTCACCCTCCTATGAAAATTTTAAAAGTTTAATAAAGGGCAATAGGAGACAAAGACAGTAAAGCAACGATTACAACTGGGTGCATCTTGGCACTCAGCCAATAGCACACTGTTACCTTCAGGGATACCCCTTAAATACCTTTTCCATTACATCAGCCCATTGCATATTCTTAAACCTTTATGCATATCCATATTATTCCATAAACTAGTTTACATATTCCAGGAGCTATTTTTCATGGGCACTCATTTGGTCCACCTTTTTAGAGCATGTGTGTTTCTCGGCTGTGCTTTTGGCTCCTTCCCTTTATCACTTCCAGTTTGGGCCTTGGTCCATACTTTCTTCAGATGGCAGATGCTGATGGCATAGCAGTAGCAGGGTCCTGATTACATGTTCGCTGGATGTTATCCCGACCAAACAGACAGTTCACTCATAACTATCAGCTACCACTACTACTATAGTGTCATAGGTTGACAAGGAAGTGAGTTTTCTTGGGAAGTTATAGTCAAACAAATCAGTGGTCAAATTTGAATATTGACACTTGGTGCAACCACTTGCTACAGATAAGAATTGATCCAGTCAAATTAAAAATGAAAAATAAAAATTTTATTTTATATCAAATTCTCTCTGAGCCAGCCACAAGGAAAAGGACAGTGCCGAGCCCGGGATTGGTGATGGGTGCATGACAGAGAGGATGCCTCTCGGCAGAGGTTCCCCCTAGACACACACACCACCCTTTTGGACCAAGCAGTTCTTATAGGAAATTTTCCACCTGAGGCCAGGATTTTGGCAATCCGCCTTTTCTTCCCATTCAAAGTCACACATATTCATAAAGTTTCTTTTCTCTCTGCTGAGGTTGAACAATCCGAGTCCAGGTGTGGACAATTTTCCTTGATGGAGTTACGGGCTTTCAGATATATGAGCCTGGAGGATTCCAGCATCCCAATCGTTACCTGGATGATCAAGGCCTAGGCATTCCTGTATCACCTCAAGGAATGACCTGTCTCCCGGCCAGCCACATCTATTAAATTGTAAATGAGGCTTTGTCCAAAAAACCAGTTTTGGGTGTAACAGATATGTGGAGGTAGCTCTCAGTGCTGGCATGTGTGCTTGCAACAACAAAATATTACACATATCAAATTATACTTCCCTGAACCAAATACAACAATATTACATTGGCACGAATTATTATCAACATATATATCACACTGAAGGCATGGATATGCCTCTGAGGACACAGGGGGTTAAAAGCAAGAACTCCCAGAGGAACTCTCTCTTTTGTTCTGGTCAGTGAAGAGTTCAGACCTCTCCTGCCCAGCCACAGGCTGGATGGGGAAGGGGAAGCCATGCGGCCTAGGCTGAGGTAGGCCAGGAGCCCTGGACAGAGAAGGGGGTGAAGGGAATGGAGCTGGGTCGGCCCCTGCAGGAAGGAAGGGTGAAGAAAAACAGGGATGGTTTTTTGTCTCCCCTCCAGAGAGAGAGAGAGAGAGAGGGAGAGAGCCTGTGCCACCTGGAAATTTGATAGCATATGCTGGCAGTACACCCGCAGAGGAGAAAGAGAAGGCGGGGGGGGGGGGGGGGGGGGGGGAAGGGGGGGGGGGGAAGGGGGGGGAAGGGGGGGGTGCCCAGCCATGGGAGTCCTGGGCAGCCTGCTGTGAGATTTTGGCCATCATGAGGGCAGCAGAGCCTGAGACTTTAACCCTTTCCTGGATAAAGGAAAGCTTTGCAAAACATTAATCCTCCTTGATATGAAAGAGAAGAGAGATGGCCTGAGGCCTGAGATATCAGAAGAAGATGGGAAAGAATCCTAGGTGGTGAAATGAACAGGGTCTATGCCTTTATTAATAGTCAGCTCTTTATTAAAAAGTCAGCTCGGCAGGGGGCTCAACGAGGAGCTCGCCCCCGCTGTTGTAGCTTCTCCCGTAGCCGAAGGGTGAGCAGGCGTGCAGAGTCTGTCCCTGGAGTCCCCGGGTGAGCAGGCGTGCAGAGTCTGTCCCTGGAGTCCCCGTGGCCGAAGGGTGAGCAAGCATGCAGAGTCTGTCCCTGGAGTCCCCGTGGCACGCTGGTAGCTGGAGGTGAAGAGGTGTGCAGTCCGTATCTGAAGTCCCAGCAGATCGTCCTCTCTCCTTTCCTCCTGGCACACTGGTAGCCGAAGGGTGAGGGGATGTGCAGAGCCTGCTGCCGAAGTCCGGCAGCAGCTGTCCCTCTCCTTCCCTCCTGGTAACACCAGGAAGTGTGTGTGTGCTTTGCTCCTGCTTCCCACAGCCCAGTCCAGTCTGGTCCTCTGTAGGTTATGGTGACAGGTCAAACACAGACTAGGGATGGGGTTCCCTTTTCCCCAACGAGCACACCCATCCAGCCCCCTCCACTGTGCCCATCTTTTCCATTTAGGGGTGTTTTTCATCCCCAAAACCCCCTCCCATGATTCCACTGGATTATTTTGCATCCAGGTCCCAGTCCTAGAATGGTAGTGAGGGTGGGGGGAGGTAGGTGATTCCCAGGAACAATTAGCTAATTAACATTTCAATGTCAGTACTTAGCCCAAGCCAAGTGTCCCAGCCAGGCTGTTTTGTTCATAACAGGTGGGAGGAGATGATGGAGTGGCTTTTGGCTGGACTTTTTCTTGTGTAGCCATAGACTGAACCAATTTTCCTGTAACACAGAGACTGCATTTAGGGGGATGCAATGGCTTGAGCCAAGAGAATGACCTGCTGCAGTGATGCCATGTGCAGGAGTGGAGTGAACAGAGTAAGATGAGGAGTGTGTGGTGGTGCCCTCTGTCTTCAGGGAAGAGGAAGATCTCTGTTCTCAAGGCCCTTGGCCCCAAGGGAGGAGAAAATGTGGGGGACTCTTGTCCCAAAATGAGAAATTGTTGTGTTTTGGTACTTGGCAAAGCATCCTTAAAAGGAACCCTATAAGCAGTTTTGGTCCATGGACAGTGGTGAGAGCACTGTACATGGAAGGAGGATGTCACAATGTCAGATTTTTTCTGGGCGGTGCCATGTGTGACATGGAAACACAAGAGGATGCAATTGTGTTTCCTGTGGAAGACTATGGTACAAGAGAGACTCCTCTCTCCCCTGATGGACTGAGAATTGATTATCTGAGAGGTGGTGACTTGATTGAGAGTCCAAGGTTTTGTCTCACTGTGATATGGTGGTAATTGGGTGGGAGGTGGAGGAATGTTTTGGAAAGGTTTTCATTCTGTTTCCTGGGAGGTGGAGGAATGTTTTGGAAAGGTTTTCATTCTGTTTCCTGTGTGTTCCTTTCATTGTAGTGTAGGTTCATAAAGTTTTTTTTTCTTTATTTCTAAGCTTGATCCTGCTCTGCTCTGTCTCTGGTCACATCTCACAGTGGCCATTTGAGAAAAATATATTTTCATGGATGCACTGGCACTGCGCCAGCTCCAACCCATGATATATGTCTAAGTTTTTGTTAACAGCAGAAATAAAAGCAAAGCTATTTTAACATTATACATATAGCATTCATCTTAATATTTGCGAAAAGCCAACAATATAATATGTATTTATAACAATCCCTATTCTTTCCTTTTTACAAATCATTTGGCTTGAGCAATATTTCTTTTTTCCCATCCTTCATTATTTGCTTACTTTTTTCATAAATAATTTTTGCTTCTTCCAAGGGGTCTTCCATATTATTTTGTTTCCTTAACAGCATAATCTTTTCTGCAGTCCCAGATGTAGTTCATTTTGGGCCTATAGGCATTGTTACCACTTGCATGCCCTGGACTATGCTGGTGATTAGCCAAATAAAGCAGGGGATCAAGAAAGGAAGAAATATCAAACAAGCTGTAGCACATAAAAGGAAGAAGCCTAGCTTCTTCCACCGTTCTATTCCCAATACCTTATCCCACCAGCTAGTTTTTAGCACTGATTCCCTATTTTTCTGATATCATTGACTATATCTAGGACGGTATCTCTGTTGTCATCTATTTTCAAACAACAATCTGATGTATGAAATTTTCCACACTCTCTTCCTTCAGATAACAAATAGTCTAAGGCCAACCTATTTTGATACACTGCAGCTCTTTTTTGGGTTTGTTGCCTTGATATTAATTCTATTGCACGACCAGTTCTGTTTGTTATTATGTCTACAACTGCTTGGAGTCTTATAATACTATTCAACATATAAATTGGGGTCCAATATCCCCAACTCCCATCTTGTGCCCAGGTAGCTGGCCCATACCATGTTTCCACTATGAATTCTGGGGGCTATTCTTCATCTCCCCTTTTTGGAATCCCACAATCAAGTCCCTTTTTGTAGGTGAGATTGTCGCGGGAAACAAGTTCATGCTATCATGATCAACAAGTCTCAGTTTATTGGAGTTGCTTACAGTTTCTTTATACAAGCACTAATTAGTTCATACATATTGCAGAAGCGAAGCTCAGGATTAGTTACCTTTCTATTAACACATATATCTCTTTGCGATAAGCCTTGCAGTTACTGTTTCTTTATACTTGATTACTTTTCTGCATACTAAGCAATATTTCATTTTTAACGAGACACCTGTATGCTCAAGGTTGTTAGGAGATATCTGTTTCTCAAGGTTGTTAGGAGACATCTGTTTCTCAAGGGCATAGTTTTCATGCTACAAGTCACGTATTCTCACACTCTCATCAACTTAACTTTTTCGTGTCCCTTGCTGCGCAGCTATTCTTTAGCTAAACTCTCGACACCTTTTATTTATTTTCAGGTCCCCATAAACTGGTACTCCTAACTGATCTCCATTTGGTCCTGGTAGAAGAAAGAATCCTGGCTGTATAATTCCCAAAGTGCAATTCCCTTTCCAACTAGAGGGGAGTCTTGGGTATGCTCTCTTTTTACATATACAAAATAAGCCATCTGGTGCCTTCCAATAATAATTTTTCTGTTGATTTATATTCTCCCAAAATTTGGATATTTCTGGAATCCCATAAGGATTTTTGCCTGTATCATTACATTGAAAATGTTATTATATTTACAATTTGTCTTTTTCATTTTTCCTCGAGACCAATACTGAGTTGGTTCCTCTGGGATCCACCACGTAAAAGTTCCATTGCTAACTTTATATCTCTTACAGGGAGTATTTCCAACTTCATTAAGAAAATTTTTCCCACTGCACCAGAGACTTTCTTCCCCTGTCACTGTTGAACTTAAAATCCACCCTTCTGGTCCATTTTACCCCCTTTGTATTTGTCTGGTTGCACTTAAGGAGTTCAACCGGGCCTAAGGTGCTACCTTTCCATGGCCATTCCTCTGACATCAAAGCTCCTCCACAGACCCAACAGTTGGTTAAGTTCCTTACTTATTCTTTCCCCTAATTCCACAAACAGATTTTTTTTTCCCAGTCTTGAGATATCTATTTCTTGTTCTAATTGATGCTCAAGTTTTTTATATAAATCTGGAAGTGAAATTGGCACAGATTTTGATTGCTCTACTGGTTTTGCCTTTATGCTTGCCAGTTGCTCTTTAACCAAATCTTGGACTTTACTCCCTGTGACAAAAGTGAAACAAATCCATCTCTCTCCTTTAGGACATTTACTTCCCAACCTGTTACCGCTTGTTCCTAAATTTTCCACAATCCAGTATTTTTTCCCATTTTGTATAAAATTCCCTAATTTGGATGGGTTATAAGAGTGACTGCTGACATGGGTGTGAGTAATAAAGGAAGCTCACTGTCTTTCCATATACAACTTTTGTTAACATCTGTGACGTGACTTTGCCGGTTTCCCAAAAGGGAAAAGACAACTGATGAGTGACAGAAAAAGGAATAACAGAGGTCTGGTATGGCTTATATCCCCACCTCCCATACCTATGGGGTTGCAACCTGTGGATGCTGGCAGTTTAGTCAGAGAAACAGGTAACTTTCCCAGGCATCACCCTGGGGAAGTTGTGAGAAAGCTCAGAGAAAGAATTAAAACAAATATTTTCTTAATCTCTGCACCTGGTGTTTGTGAACATGTGGAATGTTTGTACGTGATGTTTATGGAAAGATATTTGCAAGAGGGTGTTGTTCTGTATTAACCAATGGTTTGAGGGGTGTTAAGGACCAGTCAGGTTCTGGGTGAATGATCCTATCTATAAATATGTGTAGTTTTTAATAAACCTTGCTTCATGCCTTCTAAGAAGCACTGGAGTCTGTTGTCTTTTCCTTGTCATTCCTAACTCAACAGTGACAGCAATGCATAGCAGGTGTATATGATCTTTGGTGGCAAGTACAGCAGCCAATCCAGTCTTGCCCTTTTCTTTCCTTGTCACTTCCTTTTTGCTAATGTCAAGGCAAATCGTTTTTGACACTCCTTAACTGTAGTTTCCCACTGTTCCTCAGATATCTCCCATTCAACAGGCACTAATAATTCCCATACACAAACCAGTTATTATTTCAGTTGTTTTGAGTTCAATCTGGATAGAGGATAGATTTGGCACTCGACACTTCCTGCAAGGAGAGTGATGATTTTGTGAACTACAATACCAATTTTTCCCACAATTTAAACATTTGCATTTAACCCAGCTAGCATGTGAGGTATTGGGATGAATCAAGCAGGGTATACGATATGGCACTGATGGAAATTGTAATTCCTCCTCTTCTTTGTATAAGTCACAGGCTAAGGCCAGAATACGCAAACTCTCTGTCTGAAACAGTCCTGATCTTCCTGTTTGAAGTGGAAGTATTCCACCCTGGGGGGGTGTTGGAGGTGTCTCAGAACTTGTCCAGGCGGTACTTGAAACCACTGATATAAGCTTGACCTTATTTCCCAATTAGGTGTAATTCTTAGTAGATTCCTTGGATCATTTGGGTCTTCCCAGTTCATTACCACCCGGTCCCCACTTAAGAATCAATTTGTTACCACATGGTTTAGATGTTATAGTCCACTCTTTAGGTTCTTCCACAGGTCCTATGATTCTGCTGGCACGGATACCCCATCTTTCCCTGGTCCGGATTGCTGGCTCAGTCATCAGTAGTACCTGAAAAAGGAACTTCTCATTGTGGGGTCAAAGATTGTTCTTTCCATGTTTTCACAAGTACCCATTTCCCTGGATGAATATTATGGATTTTAAGTTTGAGGGATTATCCCTGAGAAAAATGCATATTTTATGATTGGCTTTTCACAAATGTTACAATTGATATTATATGTGTAATGTTAGAAAGTTATGCTGTATTAATTCTCTTCATATGTAGTGTGTTAAATGTAGTTTTAAGTTACAACATAACGTTAAAATAGAAACTCTGCCATATAGGATTTGTTACAAGCTCAAGCGAGAAGATGGGATAACCAAGAAACTCTTCACACAGAGATGTCAGCAAAGGGAGCCCATAAAAAGTTACTGCCTCCTTATCAGAAAAGACAAACATTCTTCCACCTTCTCTCTGTCTTTTTGGAACCACCAGGATTAAGAAGAAATTGACAAAAACCAGAAAAGTTCTTAATTTGCAAGGAATTTATGCATCATGTATGAGATATATGAATATGCAACAGGCTATTGATTTTAAGGTTATTCTTTTGTTCACAAGGTATGCTTTTCGTGACTTAGTGTCCGAGAGCATCCGGATGTCCGTAATTCTTTGCTTTTTATTGTCTTGTAATTGTCCTAACTCTAAATTTTATTACTCTAATTGTATTACTATTTTTATAACCATTTCATTATTATTAAAACTTTAAAAAATTTTAAACCAAGTGATTGGTGTTTTTCACATCCCTTTCAACCACAAATTTTCAAGTGCTTTTGCAATTTTGGTGACATATTTTCTAACTCTTATTTCCCCTGCTTCATGTGTAGCAGTGTCATGTTGGGTGGTCAGAAAGGGTAATCTGAACATCATCTCATAGGGTGACACTCCCAGGTCTGACCTGGGTTGTGTTTGGACCCTCAATAGAGCCAAAAGTAGGCATTTTCCCATGACATTTGGGTTTCATTCATTAATTTTGTTAAAGTTCTATTTAAAGTCTGGTTCATCTTCTCTACCCGGCCCAAACTCTGTGGATGCCATGGGAGATGTCATTCCCATTTTATTCCCAAGGCTTGAGTTATTTGCTGTAAAACTTTGGATGTAAAATGTGTTCCTCTATCTGAGTCTATCCTATTAACCATTCCATACCTGGGAATAATTTGTTCCAAAAGGGTTTTGCATACTACATTGACTGTGGCTCTGACGGTAGGAATAGCTTCCACCCAATGAGTTAGATGGTCTATTATTACTAATAAAAATTTCCATTTCTGTACTTGGGGAAGTTCAGTAAAGTCCACTTGGATACTTTGAAATGGTTGAAGAGTTAACTCATGGCCTTAACACATTATTTTTCTCATTACCTTTTTATTTACCTTTTGACAAATTATACACCTTTCAGTTTCTTGTTTTGCCAATCCAAACATCCCAATACACCCGTAATTCCTTAGAAAGTGATCACACAAGAGCTTGAGTACCCCAATGAGTTTTTTGATGCATATCTGTCACCACTGCGTCAGGAACGGGAAGAAAGGCGACACACTCCATGGATTTTCAGAAGGCATAAAAGGTTTGCTTTATTACAATTTCCCGATATTTATAACTAACATTGTTCACACCGAACCTGGTTGGTTCTTGATGACACCTGTCACCCATTGGTTAATTAAGAAAACTCCCTTTGGTAAACATCTTACTGTAAGCATCACCTAGCACACATTAACATGATCACAGCTGCAGAGATTAAGGACTGTTTTGATTCTTTCTCTGAGCTTCTCACAGCTTTTCCCAGAACAATGCCTGGGAAATTGTCCATTTCTCTCTCTCAGCATCCACATGTCTCCTAATATTTTCCTAGTAAGTGGCTTATTAAGCAATTGTCTCCCATCAGGAAGTTTCCATTTCCCTAACTGATCTTTCTCTCCCCCTATCCTACTTAGTTCCCTCTGTTATAAATGAAAATTTGTCCAGCCAAATTAATATGAAAAATAAAATATTTTGCAATCAAATTCTATCTAGCCAGCCACAAGGAAAGAACAGAGCTGAGCCCGGGGTCGGCCCTGGGTGTGCAACAAGGAGTCAGCCTCATCAGAGGTTTTCCTCCATGCCCACACACTTCCATTCTGGTACAAGCGGTTTTTATAGGGAAAATTTCGCCTGAGGCCAAGATTTCAGCAATCAGTCTTTTCTTCTATTTAGAGTTCATATGTTAATAAGATTTTCTGTTTTGGTGATGAGGGAGAACAAATCAGTGTCTGGAGTTTGTTGAATCCCTTGATGAAATTTACGGTAATTCAGGAACGCTGTATTCACATGTATCTGCCTGAGGATTTCCATTATATCCATCTCGGGTTGTTCATGCGAACGATCAGCACTTGGGGTTTCTGTATCTCCCCAGACATGGCCCATCTCCTGGCGAGCCATACCTTCTTACTTGTAAATCAGTTTCCAATCTACACCCGGTCTCATCTGCGCCTGTGAGGGTGGGGGCGGAATCCTAATACAAACATGTATACTCTAACAAATGTTCAATATCACATATATCATATTAGAAATGGTGTGAATTATATCTACTACACATAACACCTCTCTTCTGCCTCACTAAACTTTGGAATTTCCAATTCTTCCTTATCTGTGGTCAAGATTAACATAACCCTTTTGGTCCCATTTTCTGCCGCGTCTCTAGCCTCTTGATCTGCCAAATTATTTCCTCTTATTTCTAAAGTCATTCCCCTTTGGTGTTCTTTCATATGTTCTACAGCAATTTCTTCAGGCAATTTTAATGCCTCTAAAACCTCTAAAATGAGTCCTTCATGTATCAGTCCCTTTCCTTTTGAATTTACTAACCCCCTTTCTTCCCAAATTTTTCCAAAGGTGTGTACTACCCCGAAAGCATACTTCGAATCAGTATATATAGCTCCTTTCTTGTGTGCCAAATATGCCAGTACTCTTTTTAGAGTATATAATTCACAAGATTGAGCTGACCAGTTTGAAGGTAATTTTCCTTTTTCGATGGTCTGCATCTTTTGCCCATCAACCAAGGCATAACCTGATATTCTTTTTCCTTGTAAGCATCTGGATAAACCATCAAGATATATTCTTTCCCCTTCTCGGAGAGCATCTTCTCCTAGATCTTCCCAAACTTTAGTTTGGCATTGGATAATTTCTAAACAATTATGTGTTAAATTACTTTTTGGTTTCCCATATAAAAATTGTGCTGGATTCAAACTTTTGTTTACTTCTAGAGCTAGGTCATTACTGTCTATCAAAATAGCTTCATATTTTAATATCCTAGAATCTGTTAACCATTTTTCAGCTTTTTGATTTAACACATTTCAGACTGCATGAGGTATCTACACAATTAGTTTACTTCCAAAAGTAAGTTTAGAGCTTTCCTCCACCAAAATAGCAGTAGTTGCTATAGCCTGAATACAAACTGGATCAAACAATTTTGATAAATAAGCTACTGGTCTTTTTATTCCGCCCCCATTATTGGACTAAAACTCCATGAGCTACTCCACCTTCCACATTCACATACAGAAGAAAGGGTTTTTCTAATGAAGGTAAACTCAAAGCTGGTACTGAAGCCAGCTTCAACTTCAATTCTTCTAATTTATTATAATCTTCCCTGGTCCACTTTATATCGTCTTCCTCTGTCAATTTTTCATTAAAAAATTTTACTGCCTGTGTATACCCTTCTATCCATAATCTACAATATCCCAATAGTCCAAGCAGCCTTCTAACTTCCTTCTTTGTAGAGGGAAGGGGAAGAGATAAAATTCCTGCAACCCTCTCAGGATTTAGCTTTCGGCTACCTTTGCTTATTAAGTGGCTGACATTTCATTTCTGGTTCCACAAATTGTAGTTGTCTGAGAACACAGATTAAAAAAATCATTACTAAAACTAAATTTAACTAAACCCATGCTTTGCTCTTATTTCTTTTTGATCTCACCTCACAGCCTTTATTTAACACTATCTTATCTTACCCAAAATTCGATTTCCCGGTCAGGGAACCAAAAATGTCATGGTTTGACGCTGGCACAATGCCAGCGTCCCATGAAAATATAACTTACTAATCAAATGCTCTGAAATGCGATCAAGAACAGAGCAAAGCAGGCCAAACTTAACAAAGGAAAAACTTTATTACACTATTATTACTACTACTATAAAAGGAAAAGAAAGGAAAGAAAAAAAAAAACCACACAAAATTTGAAATGAAAACTTTCTAAAACATTCCTCCTCCCACTACCCAACTCTACTAAACTACAGCAAGACTCATTTGGATCCTTAATCAAGTTTTCACCCTTCAATATAATTAATACTGAGTCTATCGGGAAAGAGAGGAGTCCCCCCTTGCACTATAGATTTCCAGGAAACACAGCTGCCACTTCTTGTGTTTCTATGTCACACGTGGCACTGCCCAGACACACCGGCCAGTGTGACGCTCTCCTTTCTATGTTAAAGTGCTCTCAGCACCGTGCATGGACAGAGACTGCTTATAGGGCCCCTTTAAGGATGCTTTGCCAAGGACTACCAGGAACAACAGTCTAGTATTGCAATTCGGGACTAGAGTCCCCCCCATTTTCCCCTGGGGCCGAGGGTCTAAGAACAGAGATCTCCTTCTCTTCTTCTCTGAAGATGGAGGGCATCCTCACACCCTCCTCAGCTCTCTCTGTCTATTCTAGAACTGGTAGTTGCTGAAGGAGGTCTCTTGGCTTATCAGTGCATCTCCTTAAAATGCAGTCCTTCTTGAAAGAAGGAGTGGTTCAGTCTATGGTAAATAAGCAGAGTCTAGCCAAAAGCTACTCTATCATCTCCCCCCAACCTTCTTCTCTGAACATCTGAGGTCCCAGGCTGTCTCTCTTTCCTTCAAATTGAGGAGGAGTAATATTTCACAGGAAAGGGTTAAAATTCCCGGACTCCCCGGACGGCTGCAATCTCAGCCCAGGACTCCTCCCATATCCCACGCTGGGCATCTCCCCCCCCCTTCTCCTTCTCCTCCGCCGGCAAATTCCTAGGTGTCTGCTGGCTCTCTATCTCTTTTCCCTCTAGCTTAGGGGAGGGAGAACAAAAACATCCCAGATGTTCTCCACCCTTCCATCCGCAGGAGCTGGCCCAGCCGGTTCCGATCCTTCACCCCCTGGCCTACCTCTGCAGGCCGCATGGCTCCCCTCCCCCACCCAGCCCGGGCTGGGCAGAGGAGGTCCATACCTTGCGATGACCGGAACCAAAGAAGGAAGAGTCCTCCTGGGAATTCCACTTTTAACCCCTCTGTGTTCTCAGAGGCGTGTCCACCTTCAATTGGTCACCCCAAGTGTCAGTATCCAAACCTGACCCCTGACTGGATGGACCTCTTCCTTCAAAAAAAAATTCTCTTCCCGTGTCAAACCATGACACCAAGAAATTCTTCGCATACTGATAACAGCAACAAGACACCAAGATCCCAAGAGAAGAGTTATGACCTTCTTATTGAGACTGTTCAGACTTCTTCCAGACTTCTAGGAACCAAGAAAGTAATTTACAAGATGAACGGGGGGGGGGGGGGGGGGGGGGGCAGAAATTAAGCAGAGGACATCCTTTGTTTGAAAATAACGTTTGCATTGTGTGTGTGAGATATATGAATATGCAACAGGCTAATGCTTTTAAAGGGTAATCCTTTGTTAGCAAGGTATGCTTTTGTGGCTTAGTGTCCAAGACCATCTGGACATCTGCAATTCTTTGCTTTTTATTGTCCTTTATTGTTCTAACTCTGATTGTCCAAATTCTTATTGCTTTAATTTTATTACTATTTTTATAACTATTTCATTAGTATTAAACTTTTAAAACAAGTGATTGGCGTTTTTCACATACAGTATATAAGGCCTTGTGTGTTGACAGTTTTCCAAATTTGAGACAAATTTAGGAGGAAATGTCCCAAAAGGGTGTCTCCTCTAAAGAAGAGTAGGTTTTAGCAACCCCTTCCCCATGGGTCCCCACAGATTTGAAAGGATTTCCCCTGGAAAAAGTGAAAAAAGCCCTGTTTATTTCATAAGCAGGTTGCTCATAGGTATGAAAAAAAAAAAAAAAAAAAAAAAAGAACAATGTTAAATAATAAAAGCTCTCCCTTTCCATAGGTGTGGCTCCGTTCTCTGCAGAGCTGGGGCGTGGCAGGGGCCTCTCTGGGCTGAAGTGGGGGAGGGGGCCCACGGCAATGGTGTTCCAGACCGGAGCAAAGCTGACCAGTTCCAGAAGAAGAAAGAAAAGAAAGTGAAGCCACAGGCCCAGCAAAAACCTCTTGCCTCAGCTAATGAACAAAAAGCTAGCTAAAAAAGCAAAGAAAAGCTCTCCATCTCTCTTGCCTGCTGCAGAGCTGAGAGCTGGGAAAGCTGAGAGGCTTATCTGTGTTTTGAACACAGGCACCAAAAAAATTCTACTGCTTCCCCCCCTTCTCTCTCAAATCCAACTTAAAGGCACAGGGCTCATATCTGTCAGAAAGTAGACGATGGGGGATACAGAACCATACAGTCACCCTAGGACAGCAATAAACTCAATTCTCTTTAGATCAAGAACCAAGAGGATCCATGTATTCATTTCTCATTGCTACAAATGGCCACCCGAACAGCTCAGACATCTCACAGATGGTGAAAGACATTCATCATTCCAGTAGTAACCTCCACTGTACCACAGGAGACGTTCGACCAGAAATATTCAACAAAGGGACCCAAAGCAAGTGCCCATCACCTAACAGGGGAGCAGTGGGGAAGTCATGGGAGGAAAAAAATGTCCCTGGAACAGAAACAAGGCCTTGAAACTTTAAGGCGACTTCTGCATCAGCAAAATAGAGACATTTCTGATGCTAAGCTAAGTACCTTGCTGGACTGGGCGTCCATGCATGTATGACTTCCCTCCTAATGGGACTTTTCTTTTGGAGGCCTGGCAAGCCATAGGCCAGACATTTTTGGATATTGCCAGGATTGGCAATGCTGATGCTTGCAGATTCCTTGCAACATGGGGCATTATTATGGTAGTCCTTAAAGAACCCTGTATGCAGGACCATCCATTGGTGGCTTTAGCAACTGATTCCCCTGAGCCCTCAGATCTGACCTCACCCAATTCCAACACACTGGGTGATTCCAAGGTAATGCCAACCCCCAAGGTGCTGTTTGACTGTGATGAAAATCCTGACAGTCAGTACACTCGACCTCATACTCTTGGACCCTGAAAAAGAGGCAAGTTCATACCCTCCATGTGATAGTGATGATGTGGCATGTTGCGGGCAACTGGGCAGTTGTAAGAGCCTGTCCTGTTATTTATACACCAAATCAATGGCCTACTTAAAAAGATTTAGATTACCAGGTTATCAAAGAACTAAGGAAACTAGTGAAAGAAAGCGGTGTATCTTCGTATCATGTCTTAAGCTACTTGGAACCCATAAGTAACGCTTATGTTCTTGCACCTAGTGATTGGAGATGATTTTGACCATGACCCAGTTCATGGTTGTTGGGGGTTGGGTTTTCTTTTCTCTTCCTTCCTTATCACTTGTAGAATTTCTTCCCATTGAGTTGCTAATGGGAGCTGATTGCTAGGTGCTTGGGACAAGGGGGGAACTGGTGTTTTGGGAGTTTTCCCTTGGGGGAAGGGGTGGAGATGCTGGGGAATTTGGGCTGGGCGAAGCTGCTGGCCCTCTCTCACTTTCAGAGAAGGATGGTGGGAGCTGCTGCTCTTGGGGAAGGGATTTCCACTGCTGCTGCTGGAGCCTGGCCCAGGGCTCCTTTTTCTGCGGTGGGGTGAGCCTCTGCTCATGAGAACAGCCACTGAACTGGGACCTTGTTGACACCTACCTCACTAAAGGAGAGACCTGTCACTGTCTTCTCGGGTGCCTGGGATCCTGAGCTCAGCTCTCCCTGCCCTGCTGGGAGACCCTCACCCCCTGCCTGCCGAGACATCCTGCTGGCCCAGCTTGCTGCTTTCCCAGAGTCCTGCTGTGGCCACCGAACCCGGCTACCCCAGGGGTTTTTGAAGCGGAGCCTCTCTTCCACCCCTTCCTGTCTTCGGACAAAAGCTGCCATTGCCACGTGCTCCCAGAGCCTGTGCCAGAGCGCTCCCTGCAGCCATATGGGTATCACTGCACCTGCCCTGCCCACCAGGAGCCTGCCAACGGCCCTGCTGGTTGTGACCATAACTACACCAAAGGGGAAAGTGCCGCAGCCGAAAGGCTGTTACTGGGTTCCAGGTTCTGTTTGTTGTGAATGAGATAGTTGTTGTTGTTTGTTTGCTTTATTATACACACTAGTAAAAAACTGTTATTCCTATTCCCATATCTTTGCCTGAGAGCCCCTTAATTTCACAATTCTAATCATTCGGAGGGAGGAGATTTATATTCTCCATTTCACGGGAGGCATTTTCTGCCTTCCCTAGCAGACACCTGTCTTGTAAAATAAGAAAATGATTTGGCTTACCAATTACTGTGACCTATGTACTATTCAGTTGGAGACATTACAATGCAGAGATCTGCCTAATGTTGTTACTCAGTTGACAGGAGGGGCAGCATGCAGCCTCCTCATTGCAAACAGACTATTCTTGGGATGTCTATGACTTTATTAGCTGATTTGTTCTACAGACTTTGCGCCAGCTCCCTGGGGCGGGCAGAGATGCTAATCTGGCTTTTGCTAAGATTTTACAAGGTCCATCAGAAAAATTTGTACAGTTTCTTGACAGGCTATAAGCTGCACTTTCCTGGCATATTGATCATGAGGAAGCCCAAGCCATCTTGCTGCTGCAACTGGCTTTTAACAATGCAAATGATGACTGTATGAGGGCGTTATTGCCTATTTGCAATTGGGGTATTTGTGATATACCAGACATGGTTAGGGCCTGTCAAAGTGCAGGGTCAACCACCCATCAAACTAATTCTCTCACCTCAGCTTCAGATGCTTACCTCTGGGTTTTGGGGGCAGGAGGGTGTTATAAATGGAGATGGGAGCTTAGATGAGCACCTGCCTTTTGCCCAGGCCTCAGGCAGCAGGCAGAAGCTTTATTGGGGTGGCCAGCACTCCAAAATACACTCTTGTTTGCAAGTTCTTTAATAATGGCTGATTAGGTCTATTACAAAATAAATTATTTAATAGACACAAAATTAACAGTCACAAGACTTTAAACAGACTATTTACTACACAGGAATAAAATAAAAAGAACTGCTAGTAGATAACATACAGTGCATGATTAAGGTACCTATTATTACAGCTAGCGAAGAAACAGTACAGATTAAGCTCCAATGTACTTACCACCTAATTGATGATGGAGTGCACATAGAATCTTTTCTCTCAGTTCCCAGGTAAAGTATCCACAGAGTCACGCCTGACCTTGCAGGACAAGATCCCCTATATGTTTCAAGGAGTGTATAGGAGACTTCTATCTGTAGAAATTTGTGTAGCTTTCATACTTTGTATAAGGAGGCCTGGGGTCCCAGGGGTCCGTCTGGCCCCCCGGGCAGCCGCTGCCATGGCTGTCCGAATAGCTCTGGGCTGTTAGGCTTAGCCTGTCTGGGTCCCTCGGCTCAGCTCCCAGCCATGAGCAAATTTAGCGAGCACCTCTAGAGTGAACTCCTTATGAGTTCCGCTCTTAGTGATTTCGCTCTGTGCTCACAAGTGCCTCGGCAGGCGCATAGGAAGAGAGAGAGAGAAGTCCCAGGCTGTCTCTCTTTCCTTCAAATTGAGGAGGAGTAATATTTCATAAAGCCTTCATTTCACAGGAAAGGGTTAAAATTCCCAGACTCCCGGGATGGCTGAAATCTGACCCAGGACTCTGTCTCCAGTCTCCTGCGCTGGGCATCTCCCCCCCCCCTTCTCCTTCTCCTCCGCCGGCAAACTCCTAGGTGTCTGCTGGCTCTCTATCTCTTTTCCCTCTGGCTTAGGGGAGGGGGAACAAAGACATCTCAGATGGTCTCCACCCTTCCATCTGAAAGAGCTGGCCCAGCTCGGTTCCGATCCTTCACCCCCTGGCCTACCTCTGCAGGCCACATGGCTCCCCTCCCCCACCCAGCCCAGGCTGGGGGGGGAGGTCTGTGTCTTGCGATGACCGGAACCAAAGAAGGACGAGTCCTCCAGGGAATTCCGCACCTTCTAGCCTACCTCTGCAGGCCGCATGGCTCCCCTCCCCCACCCAGCCCGGGCTGGGCAGGGGAGGTCCGTATCATGCGGTGACCAGAACCAAAGAAGGACGAGTCCTCCTGGGAATTCCGCTTTTAACCCCTCTGTGTTCTCAGAGGCGTGTCCACCTTCAATTGGTCACCCCAAGTGTCAGTATCCAAACCTGACCCCTGATTGGATTGACCTCTTCCTTCCAAAAAAAAAATTGTCTTCCCGTGTCAAACCATGACACAGTTCTAAACTGTCGTTGCTGAGGCAGGACGGGAATGAAGAGACTCTGACTCAGAAGGCTGCTGAGAGTAAAGCTCCGATTTATTCAAAATACACCGCTCTTTTATACAGAGCTTTGCAAGGACCAAATCCATTTGTTCTGAAGTGAAAACAATGCACAGCATTGCTCCAGAGTGCTTGACACACAGTGATAGAACTTAACTATAAACAATGTGAAAAACAAGAGAGATAAAGAATTATTTACATTCTCTCCAGAACTTTCTCAGGCGTCTGCCTGGCCAGAAACTCTCAGTTTCTTTCTTTGACTGAATCTGAGTCCCACATCAAACCATGACATTAACATATGATTTAGAGGTAAATTAATACATTTTTAACACAACAATAATAACTTACAGAACTTTTTCAGTGCAAACTATTTTTTCAAGAATTTTAACTAGTGCAAATTTAGAAAACACAGTCTCTGCATTCCAGCTGTCGCTCAATTGTCTGTGTGTTCTTTTTCTGGCATCTCTTGCTGCTCTTGGATCGGCTGTACCTGTGGCTTGACATTCTTTGCAGGGACCTGTCGGAATCTGCCGGTATTGATGATTCCGAGATTGTGTAAAGTCTCTGTCTTTCTGCACCATTGCCAAAGAAGAAGCCATAATTCATTTGTGCTGTTTTCAAGGTTGTTTATTCTTGCTTATCTATAACATGTTCTGCTGCCCTGCCGCAGGTCTTTCCTGCAGGGCAGCGTGCGGGGCTCTGCCCCTCAGTGGGATGTTACAAACATTAAATACCAGAAACTACGTGATTATGTGTGTTTCCAAACGCTAACAAAAATACAAACCCAAATCTGACTCTGACATGGCTTTCAAGCTGAACGTATTTTATATTCTATCATTATATAACTTACACATTAATTATTAAACTTAAATTGTTCTATTGTATACATTGACATGAGTTTATCGTGATCTTTCTTAGGTCCATGACCACAATTTCACATGATTATTCTTTCTGATTAAACAGTAATTATATTTAATTACTAAACAATCGTCACATCTAACAATTATATCAAGTATCTTGTTCTAGCTACATAGTGCAGTACTAGTTCTTCATGTGCTAAAGGTATTTATTTTTTTTTTTCCAGGGCCTACTAAGCTTATTTTTCCTGTTAACCCTAAATCCCCATGATTTTTAAACCCTTTTACTATCATTTTGATAAGGACCTCTGTATCCACTGGTTTTTGCAGGTGGTCTCCTTTGTAGTTTAGGACACTCTCGCTTAAAATGTCCTCTCTGGCCACACAAATAGCATGTATCCTTTGGAGTCTGTTGGTTTTCAATTGCCCCTTTAAACGCTGTTAGAGCCTCTGCTAGGGTTTGTGCTTGGATTTCTACAGCTTTTTCCTGCTGCTTTAGGGTGTTTTCCTGTGCAGTTGTGATGGCATTAGTTAGCACCTCTGCCTGCATGGCTGCTGCGTGTTCAGGGATACCCAGGCGATTGCAAGTGTCCACTAGCTGTGTTAGAGTAGGCTCAGGGTCTTGTGGCAATGCGCGTAATATTTTTTTGAAGTTTGGATTTGCATTAGAAATTGCAAGCCGTTTTAATAACTCTTCTCTGGCATGATCTATGGGAATTTGCTTATCCAATGCCAATTTTAAATGATCCACAAATTTATTGTATGGCCCATCCATCCCTTGTTTTATTTCTGTGAAGTCTAATTCTGGTTTATTCCCATCAGGCACCTGGATCAGTGTAGTCCTTGCTGCTTCCTTAATATCCTGCAGGATCTGTCTGTTAAGAACCCTTGCCTGTCTTTGTGGATCTGTATAGGCTCCTTCCCCAGCAAGCTGATCTAGCGTTATATTTGCAGTGGCTGAAGTTCTTGCATAACCTCTTAAAAGGTCATTTAATAAACGCTTCCATGCCAGTTCCCACAGAGAATGCTCTGTTGGAGACAGTAAAGATGTACAAAGCTGCTTTAGGTCATGAGGGGTATATACATTTGCTGAAAAGGTGGCTTGTAATAATCCTCTGAAATATGCTGATTCTCTTCCATCAGCTCTAGCTGCTTTGCAAATCTCTTTTATTTCTGCAAAGCTTATTTTTTCCCACTGTGGTCCCCCTGCACCAGCAAAATTATATCTGACTGAAAAAACAGCTTGGAAGCAATCTCCCATTCTCCATGCTGTACTGCATCCCTTCTGATCATCTGCCAGGTATCTGTGCCTCCTGATGTACAAAACTTGTCCTCAGATTCTGGGGGGCTACCTTGGGGGGTGTAAGAATATCTGCTTTGAATTGGGGCTTTTCCTGATCTGGGCGCCGCCATTTTGGATGGGGTGACTTCCGGGATCTCACCTCCGGTTCCCACGGTTGGCAGGGTGCAGGGTGATGGCATGCCGTCCTGGGGGTGTGCGTGGCGATTTCGGGTAGAGAGGCAGACCGAGCTCGGCCCACAAAAGGGCAGTGTTCTGCATCTGATGGGCAGGAGCTTAGTGACGAATTGGAAAGGGAATCCTGGGACTCTGAGGATGGAACATGCCCACAAAGGGCAGAGCTCGACAGCTCTGAAACATAGCACTGGCCACACGTGCCTTTGTTCTCACAAAGTATGGATTCAGCTCAGCTCCTTTACACTACCAAAAGTCACTGATTTTGCATGTCGGTGATTAGTTTTGAGAGGAAACTGAGGAGAATTCTTCAGGTTAGGTGAGTTAGGAGAGGTGGGTTGCAGAATTATCTGGCCAGGACTTGTCTGTACCCCTCTCGGGGTTGGAGGAGGAACGGTACAGGGAGCAACTGGCCTTGCCGGCTCCCGCCTGCCTTCCCAGGGTCTGCGGGCTTCAGGTCCAGTTGGGAACAGGGTTGGGGTCTCGGAATCTTTGCCTCCCCTCCTTTCTTTGTGCCGCAGCCTGTGGTCCCCTCTCTCTCTCTGCTCGGAGAAGTTTTTTGGCTGTTTCTAGCTTGTTTTTCACTTTCCTATGTTACAAATTGCAACACTGTCCTGAATATTTGGTGTAACTTTAAGATGGACTTTTTATTCTTTTCCATACTGTATAATCTAAGTCCCACAGTATCCCAGAACCTTAGGGTAAGCATCTCAGATGTATTTAGAGTCGGGAATTCTGTGAAAACCCATCTAATGAGTTTTTTAAGCTGTTTCTTCTCAAATTTTCCATCTTGAATTTCTAATTTGTAGTTCAAAAAAAAAAAAATCCTGCTCAGATACAGACAGCTTGTTTCCCATTCTTTCTTACTCACCAAATGATGGTTTTCAGAGAAGCTGTCATCCTTGGTTGCTGGAGTGTGTTTTAAGTTTCCCCCCAGTTATGGTTACTCCCTGTCCCCCTCTTTTTGTAAAATGGTCCAGCCTTCCTTCTCATCCCTCCTCCATCTGCCTGTCATTCCTCCCTCCACACAGTTCATTGTATTCCTGCTGAGTTATCTCCCCCCAGCCACACCCCAGAGGCTGCCTGTCTCTCAGAGACTTCTCCCTTCCACCTAGAAAGTTCCATCCAGGGCTTTGAGTGATAGGCTGATCTCCGGGGTCCCCTCCCTCCCTCCTACCTCATTGGAAGTTTCCCCTGTGTGTCACTCCTGTTACCACCCTCAGGTGTTATCCCATTGGTTGGCTGCTGTTTCCTCCCATTGTTACCACCCCCCTTTAAGAAGCAGGGCAGATGGTGCCCATTGCCATTTGGAGCTTATCTTCTTCGAGCCAATAAACTCGGAACACAGATACCCCCAGAAGGACGGCTCCTTGCTTTTGTCAGAGTCGCTCTGAGCGTCTTTCAGTCTGGTGGCTTCGACTTCCCACAGGCCATACTGTTGCCTTTATAAAAGACAACCAGGGACCTGGTTCAGATGGCAGCACGGCAGCCTGGTCTCGCCCAAGCTGCTCGGGCTAATCAACAGATGCAGACACCAATATGGCAGACGGTTGAAAAGCGTTTATTATCCTATCTCGTGGGTTTAAATAGCTTTTAGGGGTCTTTGCTACGTCAGAGGGGGGTTGGGGGTCTTAGGGGATAGTGGGTAGTGGAAATTTACTTGGGCCGGTGTGGCTGCATTCCTCTGAGGCTTCTGGAGTTAATAGATAAGTGGGGAAGAGAGAGAGAGAGAGAGGGGGATGGGTCTATCTTTCCGTCACACCCCGAAATCTTCCGTTCGCCTGTCCCTTACCTACCACATTGTCCTAGTTTAGGGCAAATTTGGGGAAAACCCAGGAAATAAACCCCCACGGCCCCTCTCCACCCACCTGGTTCAGGGAAAAAATCCCTCTGAGAGAGAAATGGAAAAGAACCTGTTTATTCAACAACAAAGCACTCCCCAACACCAAAACAATTAACACAAGATGACAACAAGACTCTTTCACCCCTCTGAAGAGCTGAACAAATCCAGAAGGTCTTTCCTGGGAGTGGTCGCCCGGGTCTGGACGCTGGGGATGGCTGCTGCAGATCTCCAAATGCAGGCTCCTGGTGTTCCTTGGTGTTTCCCAGATCCCAGTCCAGAGCAGGTTGAATGATATTCAGAAAGAGGAAAGGGAAGGAAAAAAAACAGTCCAGGGAAAGAATTGGACTGCTTAACCTAACTAGGAAGCAAAGCAAGAAAGCAAGAAAGCAGGCAAAGCAAGCAAGCCAAGCAAGCAAGCAAGCAAAGCAAAGCCAGCCAGCCAGCCCTAGCCTTTTCTAGCTTTCCAGCAGACATGGGGGGAGGTGAACCAGATGATAACACAGCAAAACAAACCTTCACTTTCAGAGTCAGTTCTGAAAGCACAGAACATAATATCAAACGTAAACAGAACACACGATTGGAGATACAAACACCATAACA